AAATAAAATAACACCCGAAATAAAGTTTTTTGTTACTTAAATCTTATCTTTAAGTTTATTATAATAGCTGAAAGTAACAAAAACATATAAATTTTACACAAGTAATATTTTATAAAGCAATTGTTTCAGCATACCTTCTGATGAGTCATATACGCGTAGCCATATTTGTTTACAATTAGAACGTTTTACCCCCCGCGAAGCCCGCATCACGGATGGGTCCGCTCGATGTATGGCCGTTTCTACGCCCTCTCTCCCTTCGCCCTGGTCTAAAGCCACTCGCGCTGCGCGCTCGTGGCTTTAAACCTAATAAAACACTCCTGCATGCTCGTTTATTAAACAGTACGTAAATCATTGCTAATAAGAAATATGTCTTAAGACAACATTATATATTTTGCAGAGTGGTTGTAAACCCACATTCCAGTTGTGGAAAATGTCACTACTGTTTTAAAGCCCAGCCTAATTTTTGTCCAGTTGGTGGACTCAACTCTGCCATTGGTTTCTGGCGTAGTGGCGGTTGGGCGCACTTCTGCCGAGTCCCTGCCTCGCAAGTTCATCCGATACCGACACAGATCACTCTGGAAGCGGCCGTATTTGTCCAACCGATCTCGTGCATTCTTCGTGGCTGGGATCAGCTGGGCTCGTTACCAACAGATGCGGATATCCTGATTTGTGGTACCGGCATCATTGGGTTACTTTTTGCAAGCATAGCCCATTTCAAAGGTTATCGTAGGGTTATCCTAACCCAGAAATCGGAACGGCGCCGAGCCCTGACCTCTGGAATGAAGTTGGGATACAATGTCGTTCACCCGGAAAGCCTCGAGATTCTATACAAACGAGCGATCACCAACAAAGATGTCAATTGGGGTTTCGACGCGATCATTGATTGCACTGGTTCACCAGAAGCTATCCAACAAGCGTTTAATTGGCTTCGCCGTGGAGCCACCTTCTGTGTTTTTGGCTGTTGTCCGAAAACTTCTGAAATTAAAATCAATTCATTTGATATAGTATTTAAAGAAATAAAGATAGTTGGATCACTTATTAACCCGTTCACCTTCGCAAGAGCCATACAACTGGTCCAGGATATGGCCAAGGATTATTTGGGTTACAAGAAGTTGGGCGTTGAAATGTTTAAACTCGAAGACTATGCCCAAGCACTCTCGACCTTGAAAAGTGGAAAGATCTCGAAAGCTGTTTTTGAAATTTGAGACTGATCATTTGAGACTGATCGTGATGATCAAATGATTTGCAGAAGTTCTGCAAAGACTGTTTATAGCTAGCTAATCGCCTTAAAGTGCCCGTAACCCCAAAATTGATTTTCGGCTTATTAAAAGTATGCTTTGAGTGTAGTAGTTTCGCGAAAAAATTTTTGCTTTTGGTTAAAAAGCAAAAATTTTAGAGCCACTCATTACAACCCGCACGATGTGTGAAGTAATTAAATCTGGAGGTGTTCGTTACCATAGCATGGCTGAGCCAGGTGTAGGTTCTGTTGACAGACGCATGTGTACAAATTGCGTTAATGAGCAAGCTGATTTGATATTCTATACCTCTCTGACCTCTAATATTAATATTTAAAAATGCAAATAGTTAAAATCTAACGATTATTAAATGAATATAGTGAAGTTAGCTGTCAACACTGATACCAATGGCAAAGGCTGCATATGCGCTATAGCGCGCCAAATTCAATTGCGCGAACGAGTATGGCTCAGACATGGTGCGTTTGTGTATTGCACGCCCAAACTAACATCACACTCGATTTGTTTGCAACGAAGCGATATCATCGAGTATTTGTTAGAACTGTATGTTGATCCAAAGACAAATTGGTGCGCGTTCAG